GTGGAATGCTGTGAGTCGCTTACTAGTATCATTCTCTCTAGAATAACTCGAATGATTCTACCCTAAGGGTTCATTCACTGGAAATGGTTTCCAATCGGTTTGCGAATATTTTCTTTAACATCTACTAACCGTTCCGTTTGGTTGCTGATCTTTGCCACAAAATAATGCTTGGACTTCGTTCCGCACATCTAAGGGCCAGGTTTTGGGCGATTTGCCGACGTACGATTGATACTCCGAACAATCACTAAAGGGCACACACTTTCGCTGGTCTCGGCACTGCGTTTGACCAAACACCACTGCCAGAACACTTGCGAACAAAACTAGCACTGTTCGCAGTTCCATTTACACTGTTGACTGAAAATAAGTCTTAGATTAATCTACTGAGAGGAGTCGATCGTTCGCGATAGTACTTTGACTTCAACTGGCGATGTGAAACTAAGCGTAATAACTAAGTCTAAGCGGTTGAGTTAAAAATATCTGAGGGAAATCCTTTCTTTCCCCAGCCACAAATATTTACAAGCTACTTCTGTTTTCATTTCCTTCATGGCTAAATACTATAGTCACTATATTTTATGCAGTCCGTACTGGAGCTTTGCACATATCCTATATTTACTGCTCTATGGATACTTCTACAGTTGATAATTTATTGAAAGGTGTATTTTACATCCATATATCGTGTGGAAAGTTCAATGATACCTATTGCATAGTGTTATCAATAAGATATCCAACCTTAAATTACCTCGGCTTTAGCGGGAATCAAACTTGTATTGCTATTAAGTTGCGTCTTAGTGAAACGATGGCATCACTTTTTCTCAAATTTAAATCAAATCGAATCAGGGTTAACTGATAATATTATCAGTTTGGGGAATGCCTATCAGCTGGTCGGTAGGAAATCAGTGTGTAGTGTTTTTGTTTACAAAAGCAGATTCACGCTAAGTTCTACATTAAGAAGTGTAGGTATGCAAGGCTATGTAGGTATAACCAGAGAATAAAAATTGTCTTTACAATAGAGAATAATCGCTGAAACCAACGTATTATTTACGCAAGGTTCTCAAAAACCATGCTTTTTGTACCCATTCTGAAGTTCTAGTTAGGCAAATTCAATCTAATCGCATTGCTCGATAAAGTTGTACAACAACGCATTTGCAGCAACTTTGCTTAAGGAAGCACATATATATCTCTAATAATTCACGATTTATACATGTTTTTAATATGTATTTAATGTAGGGTGGTTCATAACAAAATCGGTTTTTCAAGAGTAACTTTTTATACCTTGATTTCAGTATGTTCTAGAAACTACCGAGGGGGACGACTCTATCTACGCTGCAGGAAAAAGTGTGTTGTGCTGTGGCTAGCTGCTCGCACGCTGAGTAGATAGAAAGAAGATTGATGACGATTCTGAAGATTTCCTGCAAAAAGATGACGCGCGATGCAAGTAGATGCGAGAAATGCAAGAAGATTTTTCGAAGATTGATTCGCTAGTGTAAGATTTTTTGAGCATCTAAAATTGAGATTTAGATGTGTCGCCCCCCTCGGAAACTACTCAAGCGAATTGGTTACTTTTGAAATATCCCATGAAATAATGTCTATTCCCAACAGCTCTACTTTCAATGACCATAGAGCAGATTGGGAGCAATATCAAACATTTATGGAATAGGGGAAATGTCTCTAATGTTGGCCTATGGATCTAATATTGGGCCCATCGCTGAAAATCTCCTATTTATCAATTTTATCTAGATGAACGCGTTATTGGTACGTTGCTAATGGATATTTTGGATTGCTATTGAAAATTTAATCGATTGCTGAATTTATGTATGGGCCCAAATTAGGGACACTTAGGCCATTACCTGCATTTCCCCTATATCTTCGATCCAAACATACCTTTGCGAACCAAAGATGATGTTAATTATGCTCTTGAATCTCTGACTACTTCTGAGATTTGATACAGAAACTTGAGTTACAAATACAACCTATCGATGGCGTATGAAACCCCTTACAGATACCTTGGCTTTGTAAATCTACCACTCTCCTTTAGAGTAGTCACTTATGTGCTACCATCTCTCGTAGAACCAAAATTAAAAAAGACCTCAATTTGGATTCCGTCTAGTTGGACCCTTGTTAGCTGGAGTGGAGGCGACGGAATTGTTGATCCTATTACTTTATTTTGCCTAGAAGATTATTTTCAGATAGGACTGACATTGATGAAAACCTGGAAATTCTCACGATCGCTACTGCCTGCAACCAAAGATGGTTCTCTAGGATGGGTGAACCTACTGAAACATAGTATCGACTTAATTCCATGTTCGAAGCCGAAAAGATTGCCATATTACCGGATGTCACCCGTGATAGAGGAGGTGATCGATGTCGAAGTCGAACGGATGAAATGCCTTGGTGTAGTAGAAGAATGTCCAGGTCCCATCGACATGCTTGGCATGCACAGGCGTACACACCAACTGCTCATTTGGTAATAATTTTTCACTCAGATGTTGAAATTTATTTTTCTTTAAAGTAATTGATAGATTTAAAGATATGCGAAGATTAGGTAACGCCTAACATTTGAATCAACACTAATTAATTTAACACTTAAATTCCGAGATGTGTAGTGAGCATTTCTCACCCCATTTTTACAACGCAAAAACAAATACAGTTTACTAGGGGAAGTGCACCAGTATTGGCCATAGGTTCCTATTTTGGCCACACCTTAGAAAACCGATTATATTACAATAGTCGTGCATTTTGTGGTCGACATGTGTATGTACCCCGATGAATATGATTTGCACTAACAAACTGAAAGCAACTGAACATCTCAAAATTGCAAACCACGTGGAATATCGTCAAAAGGTGGCCAATAAAGGAACATGGCTAATTCTGGAGCGTTTCCCCTACTAGTATTAAAATCTACTTTATTTTACATATCTATAACAATCTTACACTCTATTATATCTACTGCTTCAAAAAGAACTATGTTCCGTCAACTGTGTGCAAAGTTATTAGCAAATGAGCAGTTCGTAACCAAAACTGTGTATGCCAAGCATGCCCATCGACTTCCTGAATCCGCTGATACCCATAAAAAAAATCGAATGGGAAGTGGCCGATTTGCCTCGACTCAGTGTACGCAGCAGGACGACTACCCATTCCCTAAAATGATGGGCATTCTTCAACGCATCCAACGATCAAATTATTTTACAGTCGTTGACTTGTCGGAATCCTATTATCAAGTATAGTCCTTGAGCACGAGGCAAAGGATTAAACCGCTTCTAGGACCAACGAAGAACTGTTCTGCTTCGTTGTCATTCCGTTTGGTTTAACCAACGCTACGGCAACAATGGCGAGGCTAGGACACGATTTAGAACCCAAAGTCTACACACTTAGATTTTTTCGCCGAGATGGGCACCACCGAGCAGCTCGGCATTTTATTTTGCTGGATCTCGGTGAAAAACTTGCCGAGATTCAGCTAACAAACGGGAATTTCGCCGAGATCTCAGCTAACAAACATATTTTTTGCTGAATTTCCAGCAAAATAAAATGCCGAGCTGCTCGGTGGTGCCCATCTCGGCAAAAAAATCTTAGTGTGTACGTTTACCTTCACGACATAATTATTTTGTATAATTTCTCAGAAGAACGCTTGAATCTGATTCAACTGACTGACTAGAAACTTTATCAAAAGTAAATTTTGTCAACTAAAAATCAAATATTTAGGCTATGTATTGTCGGATCAGGGACTATCAATGGACATCAGCAAGATCCAACGGACACTGGACTAGCTGACTCCAAGAACGGTGAAGGATATCCGTAGATTGCTGGGTTTAGCTGGTTTTTACTAGAAATGTACGAAACATTACTTCGATATTACAACTCCAATAACAAACCTTGTAAAAAAGAAGAAGAAAAAGTTGTCATGGACCGGAGGAGGCCGAGGTTGCTTTAGGAAAGATTAAAACAGCGCTAGTGACTCTAGTTCAGCTTCAGCAGGGAGAGCAAAAAACGATAGCCTACTTCTCGCAAAAACTATCTGGTACGCAAAGGCGTTACAGCGCAACAGAACTTGAGTGTCTAATATCAGCTCTAACGATACATACAACAAGGAAACTATAACTTAACGTGTGCAGCAAACAGGGAGTTCAAATTTCATGAGCGGTGCCACAACAGTGTCCAAGATTTGTGCTCTAGAAAACATAAAGTGATAGGGTATATCAGCCATCATGACGGCCATCTTTTGGCTATTCAACGAATGACCTTTAGCAATTCGTTGAGGGCTCACAGTTCATTGTACAAACAGACGCGATGAATCTCACGTTTTTGACGGAGAGTTCATTCTAAACCATGATCACCTTAACTCTCATTTATTATTTTCATCCTATATTCTATTTATATATATATACAGGTAAATATTCCTTAAAAAGTTACCTCCAGAAATCTACCCATAATTCTCCTACAACGTGCGAGGTAGTTCTTTAGAAGTAGTGGTGGTAATTCACCACAATGATATCAGTATACCATTGTGGTGAATTACCACCAATACTCCTTACGATATTTTTAGATTTAATATTTATAAAGAAAGATGAATTTAGATGAATATTTATAAAGAAAATTAAATTCCTTGCGACAAAACGAAATTGAACGAAATTTAGTAGGGCACTATTATAGATTACTACCATGCAACCAATAGAGAAATTATCTTATATGTAAGTATCGATCAATAACAATAACAATTTTTAAATATATTCATCGAAATCAAAGAAACTTAAAAATAAAAAATTATCGACGTATACCGACTATATATTTGTATAAAGATCATTGAAGAAGTTTTACGGATGGTTGGTCGGTAGTCTAATGGTTTTTCGCGTCCCATTTCAAATAGACCAACCATGTACATTGATCGATTCTCTTAATCGACTCTCTCTTTTGAAAAAAAGCTCGGCCGTTTCCTGTCATCTTTTTCGTATTAGATGCTAGATTGTTCCTTCTTCTATCGAACTGTGTATCGAAAATATCTGGGAATATGTTTACAACCCCGTGGCGATCCAAAGAAAAAGTCGATGAAGAGAATCGATCAATGAGTACATGGGACCTATTGCAAAGTGACGCAAGATTTCATAATTCCGAAAAACACTTTTTAATGGTAATGGTTAGATGAAAATGGTGAGCAGTATCCTTCACAAGTGTAGCCAACGAATACTATTCACGAGAAAGCAATGTAATGTCATGAGTAAAGATCAGTTTATTCACAGATTTTAAATATTGCTTAGATATAATGCAATCATAATATATGCTAAACTTAATTCTATTAAACATATATAGATTATCTCTTGCAATGGATCTCAACTTAAAAGTAAAAAATCCCATTTCTATCATATGCTGTCAATTGAGACACACTTTTGAAACTAGAATGATCTAGATTTTCCTACAGTTAGCCTAATTCTTTAGGGGCAATCACAATGGCATTTATTTTTATAGTAGATTTCTTATATAACGTTAATGTACTACGCGCATTTGTATGATTATCCAGGCAGTTTATTTTAAATTATCAATTATCCAATTAAGATACTGCGATACTTTGGTATACACGCCAGGTGCACTTTCTTTGCCACAGGATGCCAATCCCCATGAAACGACTCCATGAATCACGTACCCTTTGTTCCCGAAATACTGCAGAGGTCCGCCGGAGTCCCCTTCGCAGTTATCTGCAAGACCAATATCATTTCCCGCACAAACCTGGCTCTCGTCCACAGTGTAGACGTCAGACAGTCGTCGTAGAGATTGTTGGCATTGGTTTTGCCCAATAATCGGTACGTTGGCAAATCGTAATTGATTGGAAATTTCATTCCGGTCTTCGGTGAAACCCCAACCAGATACCATCATTTTGGGAGGAAACTTCTTGGGCAACATTTCCGGCAACGGAAGGCAGATGGGCTGTACGTCTGTTGAGTGAATCAAATTTAAAAAATCGTGCTACGGGACAAACTGAATGAATACTTACTATCATTCAACTTTGCTGGATGTTCGAGCTTGATCAACGCAATGTCATTCTTTCGTTTGCTAGCGCTGTACTTTTGATGCCTGATGAACCGAGCCACCTTAATGTCCTGGAACGGATCAGCACAGTCTACTTCGCCCTGAGCGTAATTGCAATCTATTGGTTTGGACAGGTCCGTTTCTCCGACACGCACAAAATCTCTGACCATAGAAACAAAACTAAATTATTCACTGGAAAATGTATAATGTCGTTTTCGTTTTTACTACACTACACCGGTGTAGTGTAAGCAGCAATAAGCGCGAGTCATTGGCAGCTCATCATCATTTGTTTGTAAACAAAGGTGCAACCGATAGCTCCACCCTAAAAATTTTCGGTGTTCGGCGGTGTAGCACCGGTGTAGCTACACCGCAAAAACGAAAACGACATAAGACTTGAGTCTACATACACCTTCTGTTTGTTGCAGTGGGCTGCTGTAAGAACGAAACTGTTCGCAATTAAGCTTCCTCCACAATGAAACTCTCCGTTGATATCTCCAAGCAATGCCATCCAAGGAAATTCAAACACTTCGGCTATTTTCCCATGTGCGATGCGTTGTTTGCTACTTTGACCGCATTTCTCAAGATCTAGCAGGTCACGGCCTGGTTTCGCTTTGCAGCAGATTTTGATGATCTGAAAGATGAAGTACATAGATTATTACTGTATTACTTAGAGGACTTTAGCCTTTTTGACGAAATAAGAATCTGTATATACAGATATACAGATAAACAGATTTTTTGATTGGGTTAAAGTATCCACAGATATTTTGAGGTATGTGTTTAATTCAGCTAATTTTTTGCGTTAGTCTTACTTTCATTTTACCGTAACCTTGCCTCGAGAGTGTAGAACTCAATGAACTGGATTACCGGGGTGAAGTAATCGGGCACACACAACTGCATGACAGCAGTACGTCACAAATTGCATATATGTACGTTGTTTTTTGGATTACTAATCTAGAATGATCTTATATCACCAACTGATATTATCCTCGTTTTAAATCCCGATAACGAATGTTGTGTTGATTTGGTATCGACGGTGCTATTAATTAATTCAATCTTAAACAAACATTTGGCAGATTTTTCAAACAGGAACGGTATTAAAAGTAAATCGAAGTTGAAGCTTACCGCTATTAATGTATTTGGCGCAAAATGTACTAACACGATTTGATGCAAAAGCGCACTTTTATGACCGATACCGCACTTCCAACACTTCTTTGTTCATTTTGGAGCGAAATACGCAATATTAAAACTATACAGATATTGATACAGATTTTTCGAAGAAGAAATACAGATGAAAAGATTTTAATAAGCAAAAATACAGATTTGCTTTTGGCAATCCTGAGACAAGCTAGACGAAAATAGAGAATGGTCTACACGGCAAGAAAAAAATACTCAAAATTAAGATAAAAAAAAAACACTCAACGTTGGGTTCTATCATTTGAGGTCCGCCGTTGAGTAAATCAGAAAAGCGGCGTTGGTTATAATTTACTCAACTATTGAGTAATAATAAATGAACTCAAATATAAGTTTATTTTCATTGAGGTTGCTCTTATGCGCCTTTAACCATTTCATTTTCACAAGCGTTGATAGACGAGTGGTCAACACACGGGCCCCGTAATCTCAACGGCCATGGTTTGGTTCCAGTCTGCTCCGTTTTATTATTTTTTTGTCAACTTGGTCAACGTGGATTCATGATCAGGATGACTCAAAATTGAGTTTTCTTCTTTAACTTAATTTTACCTAGCCCCACGGAAGCCACGTGATGAGTGAAAGGAACTCAATTTTGGGTACTTTTTTCTTACCGTATACTTTGATCGGTTCGGGTTGCACCACGATAGAGCGTATGGGGTATTACTAGAGCAGAGAAAGAGAGAAATCAATTATGCCGAAAGAAAATCAATTATGCGATGAAGTGTCAGTTTTTAGGCAGATTTTGAAGAGTGAAGTTTATTGAAAAGAGTACCTAGTTTGCATGTGAAGAATGAAAACGAATTGTATATGGAGAAATCCGAATGTGTTTGTTCCAAATGTCTTCCAAATAATTGTATATGATCGTATTGGTTAACAATGACGTCGACATCAAAGCAACACGACACTCTTGATCGGCGCCGGTGGTGTAGTGGTAAGCGTCATTATATCTCGCCTAAGCAGGCCAGTGTTCAATCCCACATGTGCACACTTAGAAAAAATCATGTAAATTTAGGTGCTCTGAGAGTGACATACACAAGCGTCTATTTTGACATAAATTTGAGTCATAACAGACGCGAAATACCCGGAAAAAAAATACAATAATTTTCATTGTCATTGTAACCATAATATTTACTGTAAAACATTGGACATTTTTGTTCATTACCATAAAATCACAACGAAATTCATGGTTCATAACAATAAAAATCATGGTATTTGAGAAATTTACAGTAAAAAGGGGGGTTGTTAAACAATAAAAAAAAGTAATTTTTCTCGAACAAATTTGACCTCATCATACTAATTTTCGTTGTTTGAGCATTGTATCGTTAAAAATCGAAATTTTTTTTCCTGTACAATAATTTAACAATAAATTTTAATGTACTCGAAATGCAACAGTGAAAATCATTGTAATGTCTTTGTTTTATTATAATTTTTTTTTTCGGGTATAGCTCAATCAAACGTACTTATCGTCGAGGAACGAATTTTTCAGTCTTGGAGCACTTAATATTACATGACATGTTTGTTTACGTTTCATCTTTCATTTCAAAGATGGATTCCGTCACGTGTAAAATTAGTTATTTCTAAGTGTGCAGTCAGCGCCGTCGGGATGTTCTGAGGCATGACATTTCTGAAGTAAAGCCGTTGGTCTCCGGTTCATGTGTTTGATGGGTCGAAAGGTAGGGTCCAGGTGTGGGAGCTGCCTCCCTGGCGTCGGTAGTATTGGTGCTCAGCACGGAAAACAACACAGCAAAAAAATAATTTTGATATCACGTCAAAGTGGATGCACTACAATCATGTCGAAAATATGGTGTAATATTACTTGCTAAAAAGGACAAAATTATCATTAATACAATACATGAACTGACATTACGCTGCTTTTACTGCATTTGTTTATTTATGTGGTCATAAAAATTACATGAAATTTTCGACATGATTGATTGATCCACTTTGATGTGATATCAAAATTATTTTTTTGCTGTGAAGATCGACGGAAAACAAAAAAAAGAAACTCTTGATCGATATTAGTTGCGAGGATAATAACGGTTGCAGCTTACCACCATGCAAAGCAAAAAAAAAAAAAACACTGTCGGTTAAAAATATTTCAATGTTTCTACTATGGTGCATGAGTTAAGTAAAATGGCCATCTAAAACTTTTTAATTCAAAAACAGTCGCTTCAAATCATCCGAAAACAAGTGCTATCATCTGGTATTATTTTTTAAGCCTGCACTGCAATTCACTTGGAACGCCTTCAACAAATTGTGTGGTAGTATTTCCATGCAGTTAGTTTTAAAAGAAGTATTTGTAAAGTATTATGTTCAACGGCGCTGGTGATGTAGTGGTAAGCGTGATTACCTCTCACCCCAGCAGGCCTGGGTTCAATCCCAGTCGGCGCCGCCGGGATGTTCTGAGGCATAACATCTCTGATCACGCCTACCTTCGGATGGGAAGTAAAGCCGTTGGTCCCCGGTTCATGAGTTGATGGGTCGATAGGTAGGGTCCAGGTGTGGGAGCTGCCTTCCTGGCACGTCGGTAGCATTGGTGCTCAGCACGGAAAACAAGATCGACGAAAAAACAAACCAAAGGAAAAAAAAAGTATTATGTTCATCTTTATAACGTGATTGTAACATAAACTACAACTTGTTGTTTTTTTTTTAGTTTTTTTTTTTCCGTCGATCTTGTTTTCCGTGCTGAGCACCAATGCTCCCGACGTGCCAGGAAGGCCACCTTGCACACGCTAATCTGGTTTAAAAAAAATCTGCCTCTCTTAGCTCAGTCGGTAAATGCGTAGCTATAAAGCAATACTATGCTGGAGACGGCTGGGTTCGATTCCAGGTCCGGTGTAGGAATTTCTCGGGTTGAACATTTTTCTGGACATATATGCATATATGGGTATTTATAATAGTACTTACCACACATTAATACTAATGCAAAAATGATACAGGCTTAGAAAGCACTTGATTAACAACTGTGGAATAGCTTAAGGTGATTCCTTGTAGAGTCCACAAGAGGCCACCACGTTGGCTATACATGCACTTCCACTTAGAATTTTCAATTACACACATCTCTTAAATGAATGCCCCATTTCATCTGAAATTGCTACTTCATGTATGCTGCAGTAAAGCTCACGTGGAGTAAAAGTTTCATTGTGGTAGGGTTTTTGATCTAATTTCCGTCCTACTAAGCACTTCCCGCACTTTACTTCTCTTTTTTGATAGGGTTTGAAAAAAAACACGGAATGTTTTCATCAAAGATAACTTCTAAATTTATTCACCTTTCCATCCGTACCGTTGGATTTGATAAAGAGTCAATCAATGTTGAGATATTATTAAAATCTAACACTGCTTCTTCATTCTAAATTCGTTCTGCGAGTTTCAATGTCGTCCTAACGCATTGAAACGCCATTAGATTTTCTTCGTTCTACGGATGATGGTAGAAAAAGTGGATTCGCTAGGAGCGCTTTGAGAACAATGAGTGTAAATATTCATACAATGCGCTGTAATAGGCTGCATGTTGTGGCTTATGAACTAACTGATCGGATCAAACGTATTAATGTTTTGTGCATGGTGAAATCAATGATATTATGATTTCTACTCGATAGAACAGAAATGAGCGATTACGACGAAGTAGCACTCTACCCTACGTATCGTAGCAGCTGACATTTGTGCACTTAAAGTTTCGAAGTGGTTACGAGAATAAGGATCTCACAGTGAAACACCTTAAAGAACAATAAGTTGAGAGGCGGCGTAAGGTCCCAGTGGAAACGTAATAAAACCAAAACAAAACAATGGTGTTTCGATAAGAAGTTTCTGTCTTTTCAGTCATTTCAGTAGCCTTCTTCGTTACAGATGCAAAACTGGTGCTCTTAATGGACATAATTTATGTTCTGAATGCTCAATGAACACTAAATTTCACCAAACAATCCCATAAGATTTTTTTCTTCTTGAAACTGAATTTTCATCATCACTTATTCACAAGTGTGAACTTGATGTTTGGTACGAATTTATACAGTTTCTTCTCGATGAGAATGTTACCTTCTTCTTCCTCTTCTTCTTCTTTCCTTTATTTAACGTCGGTCTCTATTCCGCAATCTAGTGCCAATCACCGACGGACATCGATTGCCATCCATTGACGGCAATCGAATGTGCAGGAAGGCAGCTTCCACACCTGCGTAGGATATCGCACCCATTCAACACACATGGGCCGGGACCAACGGCTTTACTTCCCTTCCAAAGGAAGACGTGACCAGAGATTTTTTTGCCCCAGAAAAATCCCAGCGACCTCGGCTGGGATTGAGCTCAGACCCATCGGGGTGTTAGAAAGCAGTCACGCTTACCACTACACCACCGGCGCCGGCTATGTTACCTTTAAATGTGTTTTCCACTAACAAACTTCATCACTTGCACTTCATCACTCGTACTCGTTAAAAACCAAATATATAGCATTAACTGCGCTTTGATACACTTGCTGCTACATGCTCGTGAATATCATTAAATATTTCTAGAATAACACAATTAATTTTAATGTAACAAAACGTCTCTCACACGCAATGATTTCCATTCGTTATGCCAATATATCCACTAATATGTACTAACCATTCCATTTCGCCCCTGTTCTGAGCCACAGTGAATTGCTTTGACTTCGTTCCGTACCGCTAGGGGCCAGGTCCTGTATGCTTTTCCCACGTACGACCGATACTCTGGACAATCACCAAAGGGTATACACTTCCGCTGGTCTCCACACTGAGTTTGGCCAAACACCACTGCCAGAACACCACCGAACAAAATTATCACCACTCGCAGTTCCATCTCGACTACCGACTGATCGAGATTCTAGATCTGTTTGCTGTTGATCTTTAGAAGCTTTCGCGCCGAGATGTATCATGTGATCGCGACAATGATTCAACTTCAACTGGCGATGCACAACTACGGGGAACTGGTTTTCTTATTTACGCAGTGCCGCAGTTACACTAATTGCTGTGGCTTCTTGGCAACGCAATTGTAGTGTAGGAGTGTGTGATGGCTGTTGTTTTAGCTCGCTTTCAAATCTCGAAATAATCTGAGGGAAATACCGGTCAGTCGAAAGATACCGCCTTGTGTAAGACAGGGTGTAGCTGGACGCCACCGCCATCGACACGCCGCCACCGTGAGCTTTTTTTATACACCAACTGGACACAAAAGGCACCAAATGGTATTTTTCCCATAGAACCGATTTTTGGAAACTGGTCAGAGTCCTGCTTGAGCCAAAGCATATCATGCAAAACTTAATGTCCGTCGATTCGTCGGGCCGGTCACGACAATATAATAATTCACAAATAATTGGTGGTCATACAAAGTACCCGGACCATAATGGCCATAATCGAAAATGTTCCGGGATCCCCAAGGGAAGTGGACAAGTTATGACATTAGTCTAGGTTTAAAAGGATTAAAAATAGACTTCAAGGCCATAATAAAACCGGAAATGTGGCCTAGGTGACTGTACAGCACATTTGTCACACCCGGATGAGTGTTTAATGCCAATATTTGCATAATGATCGAGCATTTATCCACGATAATCACATTTACTGTAATAAATAATGTATAATATAGGAAATAGTTCAGATGTCCTGATATGCTTCGATGGCACTATTGGAAAAACATTAATTCAATATTTTTGTTTAATTTTCTGTTATCTTTGTTAAAATACAAGATTAAATTGGATGAAATTTTTACGGCCACCATAGTGATGTGCCGCGCCCCCTCTCAAGAACGCCCATTGTTGTGATATCCAGGGGATACTAAATATAACTAGGATAGGCAAATTTTTGGACAACTTTGGAGTGTTGTAACTTCGACAAATATGGTCTGATTTTATTTCTTCCAAAAGCATTCGACTGGAAATCTAATACAGCGGAAATGGATGTAATGTCGGCCTAAATGTCCCTAATTTGGGCCCATACATAAATACAGCAACCGACTAAATTTTCAAAAGCGACCAAAAGTATCCATTAGTGTCGTCCAAATGACGCGTTCATCTAGATAAAATTGATAAATAGCAGATTTTTAGCGTTCTGAGGAGGGTTCTGAATGCGAGCAGATCTTTTAATCACTCAAAACATGCCGTGCAATATTCTTCATGGTTATTCGTCAAAAGGTTTTCGATAGACTTTTTTATACATCATTGACCACATTAGTCGCTCTCGAAACGGAATGCCCCTGCGGGAACCTGTAGCAGGGGACAATTACAATTTTACACCAAAACCTGCCGTGTGACAGCTCATTCTTCATATTTATACATGAATAGGATTTCAATAATCTTTAAATGGATCATTGACCACATGACCGGTCTCGGAACCACGGGATATCCCCGGGGGATCTTTTAGCAAGGGTCAAATGCGTTTTTACACAAAATATGCCGTGCACAGCTCTTTATTCATGCTTTTTCATGAATAGGCTTTCAATGAACTGTAAGGGGATGTATATAAGTAAGTCGGCAAAAGAATCATGGGTTGGTATAAGCACACATATTTTTTTTTTGAACTTGTTTTCAGGGCATCAAAATATACATTTTCAACTGTAAACAAAGTAAATATGAAGACATTTGTTAACAAAATTGCTGAGATAAATTATTTTTATGTTTTTTCATTTTAAAAAACGTGAGTTTTGACGTTGGACTACGTCTGTGATTTATATATCGGGGTACTCTTTGTGAAAACCGAAAATGGCACATGTAACAAAATTATGAAAGATTTTGAACGTTAATAACTCAGCTGCCCCTGGACCAATTTCAATAATTTTATCACCAATGGGTCAGAAATATTTCTACGCATCTTTAAATTAATGACTTTATCATTTTCAAAATGTCACTTTTGTAAATTGCACGAATGTGCAATTGTTGTTATGATAATTAAAATTATCTCCAAATGCATGCGAAGAGCGATTTCCCTAATACAGATTTCAAAGTTGAATTCCATCTGGTCTCACCAATTGGTGTTTATTCAATCACCGCGTGGTGAATGGTGGTGTTCTCCAGTACACAATGAAAGGCTGCCTGCAAGCAGCGAGCTGCAGCCCACCTGAGCATCCATAGAAGGAGGAAGAAGCCGCACCTCTATTGATCGGAATCAGTAGCTCTTCGTGAGTCACTATGGGCCATCTATGTCAAGCGCGTCATACTAAAGAGTATAAACAGAGAGAACCCCGCTCAAATTCCTACCCTAATAATCGGGTACCATACACTAACGATACCATAGAGGGAACGACCTTACTACATTATGTTGGGATGATATCTCGAATTGGTGGTTAGCTGAAATGAGCCAATGAAAAATTGCTTGAAAATTTTCTCAAGTGTGAAATTGTTTTTGCTATTCCTCAGTTGAATCCCGCCAAGAGCGCTGAGACAGGAGTGCTCGAGCCCCCATGACTCTAATAAAGTTTGATTCGTACCTGTTTCGCCAACGTATGTTTTATTGAAATTGAAAACCCGACTGAGTCATAATAACTGTGCTGTATCATATGCTTTCGTCGCGTGGCTCGTTGGTTTCTACTGTTGAGCTTACAAATAAAAATATGTTATGAAAAAGAATTTCTAATTTCTAAGAGATAATTATTTTTGGCAATGGAATAGAAGAGTAACTACTTGTGTAGCTTCTGAATGTTTGGCTCCCGTTTGACAGTTTACGCTGGCTCCCAGTTGACAAGCACATTGGTTGAGTCCGCAGTACTCAGGTGGTTAGGTGCTTCTTATGGTTATTGTTTATGCGGGTATTCCTTCACAAAACACAAGCTTCTGCTCCAGTTATCAAATGAAGAAGTTAGAAGGAAAGGGGCGTAAGTGACTTTGATCGATTCTCTTCATCGACTTTCTCTATTGATAGCCGCAGCTTTACAAGCAGATTTTGCACTATTTCTGCCACATAGTTTGATAAATAAGGTTCTCATCTAGCATCCAGAATGGCACACGAATCAAGGAATGTGTGTGCAGCTGAATTATTAACGAAAGAGAATGTCGATGAAGACAATCGATCAAAGTCACTTACACCCCTTTCCTTCTAACCCCCTCAAATAAGATTTATTATATCCGGAGATCTTTGAGATTTGGCCGTAAGTCCTTTGGTAAACAAACACATCAATCGCTGATTTCTCGCTAATAAAATAACAATCTCGCGTACAAACTATACCAAATGATAGAGGAACCATTCCTCTACATATTTGTGTTGTTAGTTTTTGAGATTGAGCTTTAATTCGCGAGAAATCTACAAATGAAGTATTTGTTTACAAAAACTAATTACGCCCTAATCCTACGTCACCATTGCGTACAACCCCATATGACTGTCCTTTGTAGTTTGTTTTTTCATTTTTGTATTAAAAAAATAAATTTTAAAAACTTGCTTCGTCATGCACACGAATTTGATCCATCCAGCCCTGAGATATCGTGGAACCCGTAAATCAACTCTGTGTTTTCAGTTAATATCTTTAGACCTCAATTCTCGCTTAACATTTGAAAAGGGCCTATCCTCATCGATCGATTCTCTTCATCTTTGGTTTACCACGGCAACATAAACAATTTTCTTGCTAACCTCGCAGCACAGTTCGACAGAAGATTATGAATTCATCGAAAACAATCGCATCGCTTCGTAAGGACGTAGCATTTTTGAAGAAATGCCAAAAATATAAGGTTATACCTATAAGTCATAGGATTAAGGTACGGACATTAGACTGATGCAAAATTTGAAATTTTCGCTCCACAGTACCCAAACGGTTTCAAATCAGGTCCTGATTAGCCTCCCAAAATTTAAACTCATTTGGTAAGAAACTGACTTGGCACAAACTATTCGAAGTTTGTATGGAAATTACTATAGGAAAACAAAAGTTTTTGTTCATTGTCTTCTACCCATTTTCCATATTGCTTTCTCGAAAATTTCTGTAACTATTCGTACGTGAAATTTTATAAGCTACAACTTTGCGGAATATTATTTTTCAGCCAAATGTTAAATTATATTGCTTTTAATTTTTTGAGAGATTGATAATCTTATGGCATGATCATGCAGCTGTTCTGTGGGCAACACTGCATTCTGCAGTGTGACATAGTAGCCATGATATTTGTGCTCTATTCTTCGCACCAGAAACACCAGCTGAACAGTTGAATGAGCATAATCATAAGACATTAGTGACTTGAATCATTAATAACTTTTGTTCCTTACATTTGATTGAAAAATGGGTTTCAACAAAGTTGTAGCTGAGAAAATTTGCTACAATCTCTGCCATCATTTTTAAAAGCATAGTGATGTGGTAAATTGTTAGATATATATGAACAAAAACATAAGTTTTCCCATAGTAATTCCCATATAAACTTGAAATGGTTTGTGCCAAGTCAGTTTCTTTCTAATGTAGTTCAAATTTTAGGAGACTAATTAGGACCCAATTTGAAACCGTTTAAGCACTGTGGAGCGAAAATTTCAAATTTTGCATCAGTTTATCGGACACTCACCCCACCCAGCGTAGTAAAGAGGATGGAAACTAAGTGCATCAAGGATAGCATCAGACGACTATATAGCAAACTTGACATGAAGATTTTGGAATGTTATTCTCTACATCTCAAATTGGCCAAGGAGTATCCAATTAAATTCCAGGAGTTTCTGTCTAGGTCCAAGGTAGCAGAAGTGTGCGAATCGGATAGGAAACGGAAGCTGCACGATAGGAAGCTAAACAGAATACGACACGGGCTCAACGGAGACGGACGACACACCGAACGGGTCACGCTATGTCTGAAGGCACTTTTTTTGCAACATTCATGTACCTCAGTTTTATCTTCACAGGAAGTTAGTATTGATCCTAACAATCAAATTTGCGAAGGTTTTAAAATATTTCATCTTGGGTTTTTTGAGAAAATGTGTTTTGAAGTTTACTTAG